AAAATGCTGATAAAGTAGCAAATCTCCCCTATTCCATTTTAAGATTTTGTCACGTGTCTGTTGCGTAATTATATGATGTGATGCACCCAAACCCTTTGAAAAATAAAGAATATCGTCCATGCTCCAACATAGTTGTTTCTTTAATATCAGCAATGATTCGTCAAAATATTCTGTGATGAGAACGAGATCCAACTCCCTATCTAGAACTTCTATGTATTTGTAGACAAGGTCATCTAATTTGTTACCAGTATCTTTATTTTGTGTTTGAAGTCCAAGGTCATAAAGCTGACCGTTGTGACCTTGCCACCAAAACTTCATTTTAGCAGTTAGAAATCTTGTAGGTCTTTCCATGAACGTGGCAAATAAATCTGCACTTCCTCTACGATAAGCTTTCACAGCTTTTGTCCACTCGAAGTAGGCAAACGCGGACACAAGTTGATTTACAGGATGACGTAATACAGTGATGTAAGTTGCGTTGGGAATAACAGCCTCCATTTCATGTCGATTATAACCCACGTGATTAGTTAATATATCGTAATGTGTCCCACCATTTAGTGGTGGGTATTTGGTGCTGTTTAACATGTTCTGCTTAAAACCATATCTACTTGATAAAATATGACCTCTTGGGGGAACAGCAAATGACAAATTTCGCGAGTCACCAAATCGTTGAATGATGGAAGACATTGTGCTACTAGCAGTTTTGTGAGTTTTAATGTACACCACTTTTGTGACTTGCTTACATTCCGTGCCAGCATTTCTAAAAATAAAATTAAAAAACATACAGTCATGGAATATAACAATTAGACACGTTACAGTTGTATTTTAAAGTCAAGAAAAAAAATGCCAATATTTAAGTTGTCAAGACATATATTCGCAAACGTGTAATTTCGAAATGGGAATTGATTGTTATATTAGGCTGGTCATTTTGCCATCGACAAAGTAAATAAATTCTATAAGCTTCTGTGTAAAAAACATATGGATTAAAATTGTTACATTATTTACTTTATTCAGTTCATCGTTGTTATTATCATTGGTATTAAACTCGAATTTGAACTTAACATAATGTTTAAGATCTCGTTAAAAGACTTACTTTAAACTACCATAGGTAGGGTTCAGGTGAAGTGCTTGAACGATTTTCAATTTGTTTTTAGATGTTCAAGTCAGCTAGTGATCGATTCATAGAAGGAAAAAAAATAACCAAATTATACCAAGACATGTTCAATTTAAACAGCTTCTCGTGGCAGACATGACTTCAATATATATAGATTCACATTCGTCATGCACCGCATGTTTAGAAGACAATTAATTCATCTGTATCAGACCCATATTACCTCGGAACTCTGATTAGTGGTCTGAGACCTGAATTCGAACATTTAGGGCAAACATTAACATTTACCACAAATTGCCGTGTGGCTAATGACGGCCAAGTTATTTTTTAATATTTTCTGGAACCTATTTTTTTTGTTTTTAACGTAATAAATTGCCGTCAAGTAATCACAATTTTAAAGTTTATAGCTGTAGTTTGACCAAATTAGCTGGACTGTAGTGTAGTGTTCATTCTTAAAAAAGTAAGTTTATAATGAGTTCGTATTTATTACCGTTAAAATATTGATATAAATTTGCGTTTATTTGCTGTTTCATTGAAACGTAATTTCTGAATATACTTGGCGACATTCGTTTGTGTATTGTGCGAGAGTTGTTGAGTGTCGTTTAGAATCCCCCATATATATCCGCGCCAGTAAAAAGGCTCGTATCGAAACCCGGATTAAATCGAATGGGTTTTCTTTTGGGCCAGACGAGCGAAAGATAGCATAACTAAAGACTTCTTTTTCATATAAGATGGGATAAAACCTTTATAGACTGGATACGGCTTTTGCTGCCCTCGATCGTACGGCTTACGCGCCCTCGGAAGCTCGGGCGATTCCGCCGCACGACCTCGGGCCGCAAAATCCGTGTACAGTCAATAAAGAATATTATAGCATTCAGACAAGTACAGTATTGATTGCAAGAGAAAGTCAAACATGAAGAAACTTAGTACAACGTCTCCAATATTTAAGTGTTCAAAACATATATTCATAAAATTGTCAATTTGAAAATTGAATTTCTTCTTATATTTGTCATTTGGCAGTCTGAGTGACAAAATAAACATTTTCTGAAAGCTTGGGTATAGAAAACAACATACGAGATGGTTTTGATATATTGTTTCTTTCATGGTGGAGAATTGTATGAGCATGGTTGTCACCATATGATTTACACCAACCGGACGAAGTCTCGAACTGAATTGTTCAACAAGATAACTTCACTGTAAGTCACGTCCTTTGCCGATTAATTGCTTCAGTGACGTCAAAATGACGTACGTGTGTGACGGAAGTATTTTTAAAATAGTGTTAAACAAGTGTTAAGTCAAGTAGGTATACACACTGATAATCATAATGCTGTTGTTGTAGGCTTAGCACCTGATTAATTCAACTATGATGTCATAAATAAGGTATTCAGGTAAGTCAAGTAGGTATATCCACTGATAATCCTAATTCTATTGTTGTAGGGTTAGCACCTGATTACTTCAACTATGATGTCATAAATAAGGTATTCAGGTAAGTCAAGTAGGTATACACACTTATAATCCTAATGCTAAATATTTTCTGAAAGCTTGGGTGTAAAAAACAACATATGAGATGATTTTGATATATTGATTCTCTCATGGCGGAGAATTGTTTGAGCATGGTTGTCACCATATGATTTACACTAACCGGACTAAGTCTCGAACTGATATATTGAAGATAATATTTGGTAATCGTAGTCCTAAATAACTATTAAAAATAGCTAGACGTTTCGAGCAATGGCTCTTTATCGATAGCAATTTATTTATTTATTTATTTATTTATTTATTTATTTATTTATTTATTTAAGTCTCGAACTGAATTGTTCAACAAGATAACTTTACTGTAAGTCACGCCCTTTGCCGATTAATTGCTTCAGTGACGTCAAAATGACGTACGTGTGTGACGGAAATATTTTTAAAATAGTGTTAAACAAGTGTTAAGTCAAGTAGGTATACACACTGATAATCATAATGCTGTTGTTGTAGGCTTAGCACCTGATTAATATGGTATTCACTGATCATCCTAATACTGTTGTTTTAGGGTTAGCACCTGATTACCTCAATTATGATGTCATAAATAAGGTATTCAGGTAAGTCAAGTAGGTATACACACTTATAATCCTAATTCTTTTGTTGTGGGGTTAGCACCTAATTGCTTCAACTATGATGTCATAAATAAGGTATTCAGGTAAGTCAAGTAGGTATACACACTGATAATCCTAATTCTGTTGTTGTAGAGTTAGCACCTGATTATTCAACTATGATGTCATAAATAAGGTATTCAGGTAAGTCAAGTAGGTATACACACTTATAATCCTAATTCTGTTGTTGTAGAGTTAGCACCTGATTACTTCAACTATGATGTCATAAATAAGGTATTCAGGTAAGTCAAGTAGGTATACACACTGATAATCCTAATTCTGTTGTTGTAGGGTTAGCACCTAATTGCTTCAACTATGATGTCATAAATAAGGTATTCAGATAAGTAAAGTAGGTATATACACCGTAAATCTCACAGCGCATATTTGTTATTTACAAACTTCTACTGATCAAACACAATTTAGATGTTGCTTGTGGCTACCTAACACATGACGGCATAAAAGTCACCAGTAGCTAGAGGGTGTATAAGAAACGATGTCTTAAATAATAGAAGCGCAATACAATTAAAATCCCTGTTTTAGTGGTTTTCTTTAACCTGTCATGATGTTTTTCAAAAAAAATCATTTCAAAAATACGTTCCGTGGTCAATGTTTTTGGTTCATCTTTGTTACTATCATTGGTATTGAGCCCGAATTTTAAGTTGACCGGACGTTTAATGGTCTCGTTAAAAATACTCAAACACTTTCTCATGGCAGACATTGCTTCAATATCTATATATTCAAACATTAAGGCCAATTACTCTAGCTCTAATATACTCAAATGACTGAACGTATTCTGTGAATGCATGGAATAAAATGACTGCCGGGATCTCGTTGACAGCGAGAGGGCTACGAAGCTTGGTTTTGTTTTAGAACACTATTTAGAGGATGGGGCTCTCATTCTCGCTCTCCGCGAGGTGTGTTATGGTAATTTTGAGTAGACTTACTGTATGATTGATTCTGTTGGTAGAGGCACAGTCACGTTCATCAAAAGATGTGCCAGCCGTACTTCGAGCATGTTCAAGTATGTTGTTGATTTGTTTCTGGAAAAAAATATATATATACATGATAAACATATTTTTATAAGTTATGCATTATATGTAACAGTAAATATCTGACGAGTGTGAGCAGCCGGGCAGTTCATTGATTTATTCAAGCGCGTAAACTACAATGGTGCGATTAACATTATTTGTGATTACTGGTACTTTGCCTACCGCCCTTACATCACCTTGAAATATTGCATGGTTTGACCATCACTGTCAGCATCCTTTATTTTATGTGTTTGTCATATTACCTCAAACCATGCAAATGGAATTGTGCACGGAATTTTGAGAAAAACGGTACGCATTGCCGTGTGATATCTGTCATAAAGGTGATTGACAGGTCATGCTTGTTATCAACTCTGGAAGAACAGTTGGAATCTATCAGGTGTGCTGTTATTTGAATAATAAAGGATGTTTATGCTTTACTGAGTTGCCTACGTAACACAGATGCTAGCAAGATCACATTCCGATTGGCTCATGTGGAAACCCAGGTGGCGTCACTGAATCGTTCCTATAAATTAGACAGACTGAGGACAGTAAGGGTACATCATTTCAACTTAGTATCCTGCGTGTGCTGCTGTGATATTGTGTGACAAGTGATACAGGCTACAACCATCATTCTGTGAGACTTGTATGCACTGCTCTGCAATCTCCTACTTTCAGCGGTGCTCTCCAAAATGCCAGTGTTCCTCTGCAAGCAAGACTCCTGCATTTCTTCGTTGTTGTGTTGCAGAAGCCATTATCGTTCATTATTACATCATTGAACTGTGAGTTATCACCAATGCACACTCCCCCGAGCAATCCCCTATTTTAGTGACTTTATTCATTGTATTTTTCTGTGCTTGAGAGGTATTAATGCCAGGAGTTTTAACTTGATATTTTGGTGTATATGTATTTCATTTCCAGTACTATTGTCTTGTCTACCCTTTTCTAGCAGTGAAAAAAAAACTGTCCAGTTTGAGATCCGTGTGTGGCCCTCTCTATCAGCATCTTTGTAAAAGTGTGTCTGTGGTTAGAACAAAGAAGACGATAACGATTACACAAATATGAATTCAAAATTAACCACCCCGACCACGCTTTGTGAAATTGGCGAATCAATAGAATAAAATAGTGACTTTTGTGTGTTCCTTTTATCTTATCTTATATTGAACAGCTGCCACATATTTATGTTTTAATATTTAATATATTTATGTTTTTTTCTTGAGTCTATAATTTCAGCATTCATTACTCAAGTTATAAATATAAAATTAACAAATCGGCGAAAAAACAAACAAACAAATAAATGTAAATGTTTACTAAACCATAAAAAAGTTTAGTTCGCGGCGTCCCTTGGTTTAAAGGTAAATGTGAAGCCGGTGACGGATGTGTGAATTGCAAGGCACAGTAAAGTTGAAGTTTTTC